ACCTTAAACTAACAACCGTCTAATTTACCATCTAAAACTAAATCACGTGAGTGGAAGGTGAGAGGTGTATGCCCTTAAGTGTAAAGTTCAAGCATTTTGGTTCACATAAAACTCTTAAATATTTTGATGTCAAGCACATTGATATAAATTTATGTTTTTAAGGGTATAAATTAAAATTTTTAAATTTTAAGATAATAAATTAAAATTCGAGAAATTTTTTGAGGTACAATTTGTAATTAACCCAAAATAAATCTTTCGGGTCGAATAAATACTGTTCAAGAAGAAAGAGAAAGCCAAACTCCACTATTCCCAGGGGAATTGTGGGGCCCATTTGTGTTGCCCCACTTCAATCAACTGAGCTGTTTGATGTTTCTGTAACGTCCTGTGCTTCTCTCTCTCTCTGTACCTCTAGTAGCATGTGATCTTTCTCCACCGAAGCCTGTGAGTATCACTGAGAAAAGCTCATGCAGAGGTATCTAAATTCATCTAATTGGCTCCGATTATACTAGGGTCTTTCTTACTCCATTTCTGTCTTTCTTGGTTTAAATCACTGATTTACTTGGACTACACATTGTTACTGTTGCTCTCATTCATGGCTGCATGTAACATTCAGTTACATTCAATTTTACTTCTTTTCACAAAAATAGGCTTGCATAAATTTTGTTTTCCAGACCAGTAAAAGAAGGGTTAACTATGAAATTCAGTAAAAATTCATGTACTGATTCTTGATTACCCACATTTCTAAAGAAAAATATTTTTTTCCAAAATCGGATGGGCTTTCTGTGGCAGTTTTTTTTTTTTAAAGATTATTGGGAAGTGATTAAGATTAATTTGATGATTTTTTTTTTTGTGTGTGTAATTTTACGGGAAAGGAGTTGTGGACACGAGAACTAATGTTACTTTAATATGCCGTATTCCTAAAAAGGAGAAGTCTTAAAAGAAGTGATTTTAGGCCTATCAAATTGATTACATCTTTGTATAAAATCTTGGCCAAGGTCTTGGCTAGAAGATTAGGAGAAGTGTTGGGTGATATACTTTCGACCTCACAATGTGTTTTGGTGGAAGGGAGACAGATATTTGATGTGGTTTTAGTTGTCAAATGAGGTGGTGGAGCAATATGGGTCATATGGAAGAGGAGTAGTTTATAAGGTTGATTTTGAAGAAGCCCATGATCATGTTGATTGGGAGTTCTTGGATATGGTTTTGGATAAAAAAAAAAGGTTTGGGAGTAGATGGGTTGTAGGATGCTTGACTTTAATTTGCCAGTCATTGTTGATTGGAAGCCAAGAGAATGTTTTGGATCCTCTAGGGGTCTTAGACGTGGTGATCATTTATCTCTGCTTACTTTGGTGGATGATGTTTTGAGTAAATTAGTGGAGAGAGTGAAGGAAAGGGACCTAGTGGAGGGTTTTGAGGTAGGTTGGGAAATGAGTTTGCTGATCATACCTTTTTCTTTCTTTCAAGGGATAAACAAAAAATTTTCAATTTGAAATCAATCTTGCAAATTTTGAGTTTTTGCCTAAGTTAAAAGGTGAATTTGAGCAAAATCTCTATTACTAGTGTTCATTTTTCATTGTTTTGTGGGAGAGGTGGATCAGTTGGTGGGGGCTAAGGTTTGTGTGTTGGAAAAATGGCCTATGAAATATTTTGGTTTTATGTGTGTGTGTGTGGGGGGGGGGGGGTTAATTGGAGGTCTGAAATCTTTTGGGAACCTGTGGTTACTAAAGTTGGTAGGAGATTGGATGGGTGGAAAAAAGTGTTGATATCAACAGGGGAAAGATTAGAATTACGTTGGTGAAGTCGGCGTTATCAAGCATACCCATTTACTTCATCTCCATATTTAGAATTCATTCAAGTATAGCAAATAAGATTAAAAAAAATGATGAGAGATTTTTTTTTTGGATGAAGGAAAAAGGATAGTTTGGTCAAAGAATCAAATGGGAAATGATGTTTGGATCCGGGACTAAGAAATTATTAATGCAGGGGACACTATTTTACTGAGTAAATGGTTGTGGTGATTCATTGTTGGACATGATTTCTTGTGTCATGATAATAAATATTATTGCAAGGAACATTGCTTTACTCAGTAGGTTTGGAATTGGGTTTTAATGATTTCAAAGAAATCCTTCCTTTTGCTGTTTTGGCGAGATTGAAAGTTTCATGGGATTTGTAGGCTTTTAATGTATTTTCTTTTCTTTTTTTTTGATTGGTTGGATTTCTTATCTCAATGTTTGATGTACTTTTCAATTTTTATTAATATAAGCTTTTTGTTTCCTATAAAAAAAGAGTAGGTTTGTAATTCAAGATAAATGATTTGATTCACAACTGGTTAATTGGGGGACTCCTTGGAGCTTGTGGAAATCTATTTCCCGTGGGCTCATTTCTTTTGCTCAATTCCTATAATTCAATGCGGACAATGTAGAGTGTTTTGTATTGGGAAGATAAATGGTCCAGTGATCGTTCTTTTTTCATTTTATTTCCCTGCTTGCACAGATTATTTCGGTCCCGTAATATTCCAATTTCTTCTATAGCCAACTCTGTTGATTATTCCATTGCATGGAACTTTAACTTCTTTAGGAATTTGAATGGCAGGAGATTGTTGAATTGACAGCTAGTTTCTCCTTTTGGATGGGGTTTCCTTAAGTCATGCATAGATTGATAAACAGGCATAACTATTTCTACCTCTTGTAACTACTCTTGTAAATCGTTTTTGATCATCTCATTGATGATTCTAACTATCATATGTTTAAACTTTCAAAGTTGATTTGGAAGGCTAAGGTGCCTTCAAATTTGTTGTTAACTTTAGGGGCTTTGGGAGGAATTAGAAAGCTCGAAACCTATGTCAATAAGTAGTTTTGACAATTTTATGTGTTGTATAGTTGGACAGAAATACAAGAATTTTCGAAGACAAATTTGAAGATGATATGACACAATGGAAAAAAAAAAATTATGATACAATGGGAAAGAATCAGATTTTGACATCCTCTTGACATCAGTTTCTCTGGATTTCAAGATATTCCATGATGTCTTATTAGGGTCAATCACAAACATGAATTTGGTCCCTATAGTACTTGTTTCACATTTTTCTCGTTCGTTATTTTCTTTAACTTTTTTTTAAAGGATTACTCATCCTTCTTGTACTAATCGTTCATTTTGATTTTAATAAATTCTATTGTTGGTGATCAGAAATATATTTTTCAATGTTTAGTTAATCTTGGAAATAAACAGTGATGTGTGACCATGTTTAGAGTGGACAATTTGCAAATGTTGGATAGGGGTTTTCAAAAGGGTTGCGGAGGGGATAGCTGTCCTAGTGTCCCATTCATTGTATGCTTAGGACACTATTTTGTGAGAATTGAGGTGATCGACTTAGGTATCTTTGATGTATGCTCTATATTTTTAGCAGTGTAGGGGCTGAATTAAATTGAATTTAGAGAAGCTTGAGTTGATTGATTCCAATGGCGGATTAGCTAGAATTGATTCCCTAATGTTTATTTTGGATTGTAGTGTAAGGTCTCTCTTGTCTTGATGTTTAATATTTGTTGGATCTTTTTTCAAAGCAAACACTTAGGAATTGAATAGTGGAGAAGTTTGAGAGTAGATAGACAGGGTGGAAGAAGTGGTGGTGTCTTAAGAGCGGTCTGCTAACTTTGAAACAAAGTATAAAGTTGAGCATACCCCCTACTCTATATTTATTCGTTCTATTTAGTATTTTAGCATTGCAGGCTGAGTATCTGGGACGTTATACCTTGGGATTCCAGGAATTTATAAATGAGACACAACATGCTACTCACTTCAAATTGCAGATTGTTAGATGGAAGGCTTAGGTCGTTCAGTCAAGTTTTCTTGGGATGTGATAAGGGATAGTTCCTTTTGATTCAAATTGAAATACGGAAGATTGTGGGGTTAATTGACCTCATCTCAAAGGAGGTGAGTAGATCATATAAAGTGGGATTGTGTATAGGCATTAAAAGAGGGTGAGATGAATATTTACAAAATGTTTGTCTTTGGATGGGAAAGGAAATGGGGTGAGATTTTGACATGATATTTGGTGTTTAAGTTTTGATTCAAAAGGATCTTTTCTTTTCTTTTCTTTTTTTCCAGATATATGTTGGCTAGTAGTGTGTATTAAGTATTTTGTGCTTTTAGGCTGTATTAGACTCTCAAGCCAGTGGGAGAGGGTTTTACTTGGGACATTGTACGCTGAAGGGTACTGCATTATTGTGATAGGGTTTTACTTGGGACATTGTACATTGAAGGGTACTGCATTATTGTGATGTTGATGTTGATAGAACTATACAAGATATACCCCAACATGGTTCAAAGTATTGGCCGAGTCGTCGGCCCTTTCCGATTCGATAACATTACTCGTTATGCAAATATAGCAAGTCATAGACAAGTCAGCCTTCACTCTATTATGAATCGAGCAACTTGGCAAGAATCAGAGTTATATTGCTGGACTAGGACGATTCATAACTGACTCGAACCGATACATGGTGGAATCGTCCAAAAAACCCACAAAGCAAAAAAACTAAAGCCAAATGCAGAGAGGGAAAAAAAGCATGAGACCCACATCCAGATTCACCAAACTTATGTAGTATTGAATCTTAAATCACACCCTTTTTGAAATTATAGAAACAAAAGATTAAATTGGATGAATTCGTAACACAAACTTGTAAAATCAAAGGTATTACTGGCAATGCAAATCATAGAGAGTCCCCTTTGTATTGCAGTGAATGCAAATCATAGAGAGTCCCCTTTATGGTGAATACGAATTATAGGGAGTCTCCTCTTCTTCTTCTTCGTCATGAAGATGTCGCGGTTTCACAAGTCCAACGTCATAGCATTGTCTTTTCTTCTCGATTTCATCTCGCTGACTGCATCGAAGACTCTCTCTCTGTCTCTATTTCTCAGTAAAAAGAGTCAAAAAACTCAGTCTGTGGTGGGGTGGGTTTCTTTTTCCTTTTTTTATGGGTTAAAACATTGTTAACTTATGTATTATGATGGTGTACTTTACTAAAAATGTATATACTAGGTATCTATTTAAGAGGTACATACACTAAGCTTTCATTTTTGTATATATCTGAACATGTGACAATTAGACATACATATCAAGTAGCCACACATATATCAATATAATTTTTTTTAAAGTTTTCATATTTTATACATATGATGCATGAATTTTTGTTTATATTTTTTAGAATTTTTGGGAATTTTTTGGGCCTTCTATCTAGCATTTTTTGCGTATTTGTCAATACGATCCACGACGTTGTGACCAATATGTCTTAGTGCCGTCCGAAACAGAGGCCGATACTGTGATTTTGAACTATGTTCCACAAAATTGTCTGCTTGAGAGTAGGGGTGGATATAATGATGCGGGGTGCCTTGGCATTACTATAGCTTCGTCAAAAAGATATTTGGAGCACCAAATACCTTCCAACTAATAAGGAAGCATTTTTTGCGTAATAGGCAGTGCTTGTGTAGTTTGACAAGAGAAACGAAAGATGATTCCCAATTGGGGAATTATCTGCAGAGGCAAAGTTGGTGTTTGCTAATTTTTGGGCAGCAGAGGCGGCGTGGCCTCTTTTTTTCCCTATGTGCAGGGTTGCCTGGTTGTATTACAAAGAAAACATTTGTCTGAAAGTTTCAGGATTTATAAAAAAAAGTTGTTAAAGAAGACCTAAGGCCTGGCTTGGGGCCCCTGCCTGTTTGCTTGTGTTCTGAGAAGGGGGTGTAGTCAATAGTCCTCTGGAGGTATGGAGGCAGCAATTCACCAGCAGCTTGTACATGGGTTCCTCCTTCCCCAGTGGTCCACCAGCCTGGGGGGATTTTAACTTTTTTTTATTATAAAAATATAATATTCATTTTCTTATTCCTGGCTACTTAGAAGGTAGTTGTAAGCAGCTCGTAAGCTGCTCATGACTCTGTTGCTCTTAATCTACTTGTCACTTAATTATCATTTAGTAGGTTTACTTCGTTTCAAGTACTTCATTGTACTATAACCTCTTTTGAAGAGAGGTCTTTTGAGGAGGGAAGTTTCAGATTAGGTTTGTACTGAAATTTTGAGTATTATAGCTCGTTATGTCAAGAAATCTCTTCCAGATAGTAGATTCTGCTCAAAAGTACATTTCAGAAGTTTGGCTTTGTTGATAGTTCTTCGGATCCACCTTTGATTGTGGTTGTTGGATCCTTTGTCCAGGCAGCATCAGTATGTCTCCTAAAGTAGTGGATGCATTATTTTGCGTTTTTTCAACACTGCATTAGTTTACATTTTGCAGGCCTTACTTTGACTTTTCTTCATCAGTGCAACTTTTTTCCGTACTAAAGAAATAACAAAACGAGTTCATGATGTGTGGGACATGTGTTGGGAAGTGTATAAAAGTGTGCCTCTTACCCCATGGAGCTGCTGGAGATGATTTCCATTTTAAGTTTGGCTGAACATAATAACTTGAATAACATATGTTTTACTCACTTTTGTTCAGAACTAAGAGCTAAAATTTTCAGTGTGCATGATTTATTTCGAAGTGATTAGCACACCTTCTTCTTTCACAGATAGACATCATCAGGTTTTTAGTTTTCAACATTCCGCTCTCTATGAAGTCAAAACACTTGGAGTGATTGATTATCACTAACCCCCAAATGGAAAATATTGTGTTAATTTTAACTGTGGCATATCAATCAAGAACTTACTGAATGAAATAGCAGATGAGAGAGTAAAAACAGTTTTTTTTTAATTCTGAAATCCAGTGTCTCCTGATGATTATAATAATGCCATATGAACTGCCAATTGCATGGACTTAATTTCAGCCTAACAGGAACATGTTTAGGAAATGACTTCCTTAAGCATGAGCCTAGTGTTAGGAAAATGCTTTGTTAATCAGATTGTTTAGCTGCATCCATGTGGGGGACATATGCTTCTTCTTTTGTCTTAGTCCTTAATTTTTGGGGAAGTGCATTGAGAATTTTTTTTGGTCTTAAAACCAGTTACCTTCAGTACCCCTCAAATACTGCTTTACAGTCGTGCTTGTTAGTTTGTTTACATCCATGCAGATTGTGCAATGTTTCATTTGGTAGTTAGTTAGCATGCATGGTGCTGTAAGGTTGTCTTTCTAATAGAGAGCTGTGGGCTGAATAGATGTTTGAAATGATTGCAGAGGTGTGGAGGTCAAGATCTGAACCTAGCTAGCTCTACTTTGTGGCCTTGGAAAGCTGCTGTTATTTTTGAGCTTGCTGATTGTAAAATAATGAAGCGTAAACGTAATGCGAAACGCAAACCAAAAAAGACCACTGTGGTGGGAGCAAATGAGGCATTTTTCAATGCCGATCACTCTAGTATAGATGATTTGTACAATGCTGTTGTATCTAGAATGGAGGCTGAAACACCACAAGCTGGTACCAGTAAGAGTATCCAACAATCAGGTTTGGGAAAACAAGTATTTAATGAGATAACAGAAAATAACAGCAACACATTGGCTGAGATGAAAATAGCCCTCACCAGTAATCTATCCAAGAAAGCTGGGAGTTTGACAACTAAGTTGTCAAGGGGCTTTGCATCTTCAAATATGAACCTGACTAGTAATGCAGGACTAGTGCAAGGGAAGAGGACTTGCCAAACAGAATCAAAAATACCTCATCAGGATCCTCGATACAAAAAGCAAGAACTAAATACTGCCCTATTGGTATGTTCTGTGCATTGTTCTACAGCCTTTAAGTTGTCCAATTTTTTGAATTATCCTTTTTTGGTTCGTCTTTGAAATATGCTTATCGCATCTAATGTCATCATTTTATCCCTCTACAGGTGATTACAAAAATTATGCAAATGGATGCAGCTGAGGTATTCAATGTTCCTGTGGATCCTATTGCATTGGGAATACCAGTAAGTGTGGATTGCTATAGACATTATTCACTCTTAGTAGTTGCATCATTAGAAGCGAAAGCTTTGACTTACATTACATAGAATGGCCAAGTTCATAGTTGCTTCTATATAATCACCAATTCTTTTAAATAGTGGGCTCTCAGCTCCCTTCTTTCTTTTGTTGTCAAATGTCTTGTCATATTATTTTTGAACGGATCTAATATTGCAAGGCTTATCCGGTTCCATTTTTCTGGGTAAAAAGTATCGGCCGAGTCCGATCCAACTCGACCCTTTCTGATCCAATTATAGTATAGGTTACACAAATATCATGATTCACACATGAATCAATGTTGACTCGGGAATAACTCAATAGTATCAGTCCAAGTCAGAGTTGACTCATTTAACTCGTACGATTGTACAAGGCAAGCCGAAATGAGCTGATACAATGAAATCTTCTGCAAAACCACCAAATTCTCAGACAAAATCAAAATCAAAACAAATGTGAAAGGGGGACAAGAAAAGTCGAGACCCATAAGCAAAACCCCACATAAGAATCTAATATTTTTCAACCCTAAATGGCAAAAACCCACATGAAAATATTCAAATTTCACCCCTTTTGCAATTATATAAACCTAAATAGGATTGAGAATTCAGAAGACTAACTTGATTTTAAAGAGATTCCCACCTCCTCATCCTTTGTTTTTGCAAAGCGAGCAGCCTTCACAGTGATTGACCTAAGTTTGTCAATCGTGCCAGATATTAGCGAGTTTGTGTTAAAATACACTTCACCAATACTCGATTTGTTTATTAATTCTTGACTAGCGAATTATGTCATAATGGGTTCGTGTAGTATGTGGATCATATATAACCAGTATATGAATAAGTTGTGTACCCATATCTGATGCATTTATTAATCATGTCGCGTTGGGTCCGCTTTTTACAAAATTGGTGGCTTAAGGAATATCTAAACCCTCTAAAATTTTGTATCGTATTAACAGGTCGTGTCATATTTTGACACCCCAAATTGGCGCTGAAACTAGTCTCATCCCTTCTACCTCTCAAGTTGTCTTTTGAGACTATGTTGTCGGTGGTTAAAAGACTCTAAACCTTAGACTTTCCTTTTTAAGTTTTTGGGTTTTTTTTTTATTTACCTTGGTTGGGTAAAAGACTTAACAATTATATAAATTTATAACCATAAATTTGAAAAAATTTCAACAGTCTACAATTTATCTAATGAGCCCTAATAAATTAAAAGACTTACTATTTATGATTAGGTATTTGTGTAGTAAACAAATTATGATAAATAATAAACAAATTAAACTTGGAATTATATTAGATTTAGAATTAGAAATGATTATACTCGGTATGTTCTTGAATGCTTACATCGACTACAGTTGATAATAAATATTTTCGATAGCGCCTTTATTTTTCATTTTTTCCTATTTTTGATGATGCATTTTGGACATATGATGCATGGATATTGTTTACATTTTTTGATGATTTTTTCCGAATTTTTGGATCTATCTAGCCTTCTGTGCTTGTTGGCTGATAACGTGTTGCAATGTCGCGTTCAATGCATATCAGTATAGTCTGAAAAGATTTTCGATACCGTGACTTTGAACTATGCATTTTTTCTGCCTGAAATCATAAAAATATTGTGTGGAAATATTATCAGTCTTTTAAATTTATCACAATTGTTTTATTATAAAGCCAATTTTCTTTTCATTAGTGTGCTTATATATTGGGTGGGGCTGGAACCAGGATTATTTTGATGTAATCGACACGCCTATGGATTTTGGTACGATATGCAACAACCTAGAAAAGGGCCATAAGTACATGAATTCAGAGGATGTGTTTAAGGATGTGCAATATATTTGGGAGAATTGTTGTAAGTATAATAAGAAAGGGGATTGTATTTTGGAGGTCATGAAGCTTATGAAGAAGAACTTCATGAAGTATTGGACTGCAGCTGGGTTGTACAAGGAACAACCTCTGGCTACTAATGGTAAGGGCCGCACATGTGCTTTTTCTCGACCCATGCATTAGACTTTTTAACTGTGCTGAATATGGTTACAACACTTGCTTTTGGTATTCCTTAAACTAGGATTTGAGTTTGTTGGGCAACAAAAATTTTCAGTGGCTTAATTATGTTGGGAAAATAACTATTACTTGTTTTTGGTCATTGCTGCTTAAAATTGCACATCTATAACAATGAGAGGTCTTTTCTAGGTCTATTTGAATTGCATTGTTGTAAAAGAATTTAATGCATCTGCAGAGTGTGTCCTCAGTAATTAGTTAATATATTTGCCTTCCTTTCAAGGAGTTGAGTTTGTAGCTGTTACCAATTTAGTGCAACCCTCATACGATGGTTGTAGCTGCTAAATTTGCAGAAAAAGGAATTATATGTTTAAGCCTTCTTACCAAGTGGTTATCGACTTATCGTTGCTAATCTTGAACAAAGCTGATGGACAATATATTTTCTTAGTTGAAGGGTACTATTTTTAATCCAATTGGCATACAAAGTTTGTCCCCATTTTTGAATAACTTCTTATTGCACTTGGACATTTCACAAATTTTGACATCATTGTGGTGCCGTGCCCTATGAAAAATGTTGGATGAGATATGCCAACAATTAATGATTTGAGTTGAAATTTTAATTGAATCTTATGGAAAGTAGGATAAAGAAAAACTTGAGCCCACATGCATAGTTTATATACGTGCTCATTGAGAAAAACTCTGCAGAAGGACCATCACATATTAAATGGGAATCTGGAAACAGTATTTTAAGAACAACATTCTTGGCCTTTCGGAACTGTAATTTGTTGTTCTTAACTATTCGTAGTTCATTCCATTCTGGGACGAGAGCACTATGATTGCAAGCATTTCTTGTGGATTCTTACCTTTGAATTTCGTTTAGCTCATGTTAATTTTTATATGGGACTAGAACATTTACTTTGCTCTTTAGCCTTTTCAAATTTGCTGCTCGTTTTTGTTAAGCCCTACATAACTTCTGCCCCTGACAGGTGCCACCCTTGTTTATTCAGTCCCAAATTGACATTCTCCTTGCTTAGCACCACACTATTGATATCCTTGCTTTGGGAACAACATAAGTGCTGCTCCAGTCGTACCAGTTAAATTTGGCTGCATCAAATTACGCAAGTTCTTTCTTTCCTTTTAGACCATCAGATGGGTGCCTCCCTCTGCTTTTCCAAATGCATTGTAGATGTTCCAAGACCCAGGCACTCACTATCAGGCTCCCATTAGCTCGGTAGATATCTGAATGCTTGCCTTGATGCTGCCTATAGCATTAGGACAAAGTTGGCTTACTTTTTGGAAGGATACATACCTGATATACGTTTATATGCAGGATATTTAGTTTATTTAATTCACAGACACCTTTAGAAGCTTTGTCAAGCTTCTTATAATAGAAATTAGATAAAGTAGAAAAACAAGTTTTTATGCATAGCCTCATCGGTGAGTAATTGTGCATGATGTAAATAGTTGTAGTGACTTGCGCTGTTAGAGTTGTGCGGGATTGAGTACCATATAGTACTAGTACTTTTTAATGCTAGAACCATTGTTTCTTTTATGAAGGACAATCATGTCTACAGCCTCCTGTTGAGTCTACCATGAGGCACAGCACATGTGGCCATAGGAGTCCAATGAGCCCCATGACCAGCTACATCAATCAGCAACAGCATATGACAGGAACATGCCTAGTGGGGGACCATCAGCTCTCACATAGCTGTTGCCATGCATGTCAGCCCCAACTAAGAGCCTGTCAATGCCAATCAAGCTCAAGAGAGTTGCAGCCTTCCCATTCACTGGCAGGCACAAATACTGATAGTGCAGGTATTCCCTTTGTGATGTGTGCCAGTATGTATATTTTTCTTGCTACCTAAGTACAATGCATATGTCCACTATTGTTATAAACCGTTTGAAATCTTTTCATTGCTGATCCTGCAGAGTCATTTTATTCTTTCGATGCTTTCTCATCAACCCCCCCTAAAACGTTGTGGTACATTCACCTGAGATATCCCTTTACTTTCATGGTCAATGCACTGACAACACACTAATATCAGAGGTGTCCAGACACTTAAAAATAAAAAAATAGAAAGTCCTTGGACTTATTGGACTATTGTAAACTATAGTCCTCAGACTATTGATTGACAGAAATGATGTAATGCAACAATGTTCATCCCATCTATAGTTGGTTCCAGATACAAAACAATTTACTAACGTTCCTGTTTCACTCTGTTTCTTTCATGAAGGAAATTTCAATTCACTTCTTACAATGTGTACCTTGAGGTGTAGCAGTTGCTTCAATGTGTCCCCAGATATGACCGGCAATGCCAGTCACCAACAGCAACATCAGATGGGCTCGAGCCAAATTCAGGCACATCAGTGTGCACCAAGCCACAGCCAGCCATATCAGCCCCACCAGAGTAAGCATCATCAGTCCCACTCAAATGCTTGCGAGTGTCAGCTTTCTCAGCCGGAGTCTGGCACCCATATTGGTGTTGCAGGTATGCTATGTGTCAGTGCCCTCATATTCACGTATAGTTTTTTGCCCTTTTCGTTGCTCCTTTATATTGGGCACGTAGATTTGTTTGCTTTAATCTGTTTAGCTCATCGGACCAAGTAGCAATTGATGTTCCTGATATTTTCGTTGTTATTTATTATGCCCTCATTAAAGCCAGCAGGCATTAAATCTTTATGCATTTGGTTGCACTTGGGCCTTATGAGCTCTAACTTCTAATGCACATGGGCACCAAATGTGTTTTCCTATTTCTTATTATTATCTCACTGGCTGTGGCTAAAGCAAGGAACAATTAGTCACAACTTCAACTGTTTTCAGTTCTCCCATATATTCGACTGCCAAGTCAAGCTATTCAAATGGATGTGAAACCTTGCAAATGTAGGAGGTGTTCGCAGATTAAAGGTAAAAGATTTGTATTGCAGTCTCCTGTCAACAGTCACATATTTATGTACACTCCTGTCTTCCAATCATTTCTACCTTAGATGGAGACATCATGTGCTATGCACATAGACGGTTTGTCACCGAAACCTTTTTGCAATTTACGGACAGTTCTGGAAAGAATTCTAGTCATTGATTTATATATCAGGTAAATCGAGCTAGCACAGGGAATGTTTTACCGAAACCAGTGGGTTGTATGTTGAAATGTTCTGGTATTCACTTCTTTGAAGTGGCTTAACTTTCTTGTCAGCAAATCACCGTCCATTCCCTGGGCCAGCCCACTTTTTCTTTTCCTTTTTTTCCTTTTTTTTTTTTTCTCATTTTAAGGCAAGATGGGAAGGGGAAAGTAACCAAATTCAACTGGAAATCACTGGACCAGGCAACTTTGAAATGCAGTGCTACTCTCGTCTTTCACATGAAGTATCCCAGTGTTTAAACTAGGCTGAGGATAATTTTGGCATATGAAAGTTAGGAACAACCTTCCCTTCTATGCATGTATATTTATCTTAAATGCATACATATTGCACTACTACTAATCTTATCTCAGCGAGGAAGTTTTCGTCCCTTATCAGAAGTGATGAGCTATTTTGCATAAAAGAACTGATGAGCTTTCCATGAAATAAAATGGCACGGGATTTCATTAAAAACTTACAATCGTTATTGTCTTCATAGTTGATCACTTGCTTTTATTTTCCTTTTCCTTCTCCACATGTCACATGATAATGGGAAGAAAATTTCTTACTAATGGTTGAGCTTCTCTTTTCTCAAGACATTTCATAGATGCATTTATTTATAATGCTCCAATAAATTCTGCTACTCAGAAATTAATCTTCCTCTCTCCTTGCCTTCACGATTGAAACATGTGCTATTTTCTCATGTAAAACTATAAATTCTCTTACTCAAAAAATTCCGTAATGAACCAGTTTTGTTAAAGGCGCACTTAGTCCCGCACCTAGGCCCCTTGCCCAAATCAAGTAAGGCCATGTGAATAAGCGAGCTCCTAGTGCGCAAAGGCACAATAATCAAGCGCCTAGCCGGCGCGCTTTAGTGAAAACATTTTTGTTTTGCCTTATTCTCTTCCAGATGCATGCGAGTTATTATATTTGTGCAAAGACACGATGTTTGGGTGTGAGTGATACACAAAATATATTATAAAATCTAATTTGACCCAACTCAATGCCAAAAAGAAAGCCCTAAGAGTCACCTCTTCTCCTGCTTCAAGGGTCATACTTGTCCTATTTATTTAGACTTAATTGATTGTTTTGGTTGTGCTTAGATAAATGATATAGCTCTGTTCTTGTGAATAATTGAATGTGTTTTGTAAAATTGCGGTTGAATACTTTATTATGGTCAATTGCATATATTGGAAAGTTGAGAAGTAAAAGTTGTCTCTGTAATATAAAGTTTCGTTTATTTAAATTAAGGCAGTTTCAATAAATACGTGTTTATAAATGAGCCTCTATTTATTGAAATCATCTTCTATTTGAAATATTTCGGAACTTGGATATTTACTTATATTTTATGTTTTTTTATGTTACGTCATATTTTGAAAAATCATTTGCATGGTATCTATAACTTGCGCCTTACTTTGATGAGGCCCATGCCTCACCTTATACCTCGTGTCTAGGGCCCCCAGGGACCTTGGGCCTTAAATAACACATTGAAATAGGAATAAACTACATATATGACCCTTAAACTATGACTCTTGTGTCAATTAAACCCCTAAACTTTTTTTTGTGTTAATTGAGCCCCTAAACTCTCTAATTATGTCAATGAAGCCTTTCTGCTCGCCTCCGTTAGATTGTGTCACTCACATGACCATATGACACAAAAAGGTATAAGGGCTCAATTGACACAATTAGAGAGTTCAGGGTCTTAATTGACACAAAAAAAATGTTCAAGAACTTAATTTACAGAAGGGTCATAGTTTGAGGGTCATATGTGTAGTTTACTCCAACTCACGTGACACACTTTGCCATTTTCGTTAGAAAATCTAACATAGGCAGACAGAAAGCTCAATTGACACAATTAGAGAGTTCAGTGATCAATTGACATAAAAAAAAAAGTTCAAGGGCTTAATTGACACAAGGATCATAGTTTGAGGGCTATATGTATAATTTACTCTTGAAATAAATGGAACTGACTTTGTAGCTTTGTGGAGTTCTATCTTAAAAGTGGGTGTTTTTTTTTTTGGGGGGGGGGGGGAGGGAAGGGGCAGGTGATGTAGATCGTAGTAGGGAAGAATTAGTGATGAGAAGAGAAGAAAAAATGATGAAAAAAGAAGAATGGGATGAGGAAAGAGATAAAATTTGAGGAAGAAGTAATATCAGGATTCAATATCAATAATCAATAATAATCAAAGTCTAATTTAAATAAAAGCCTTACATGCATCCTTTTATATTGGGAAACTAAAACCCTAAAACAAATAATAATGACAAATAAACCCTCAAAAATTAAAAGAAATTACTTAAAAGATAAATATTAAAAGTATTTAAATAACTCTCACAATTAATCTAAAATATTTATCCAATTTTTATACGATCCCCATTATTCTCCCCTAGTTGAAAAAAATTCTCATCCAGAGGGCCTTCAAAGTAGAAGTATCCTAAAAAAACAGGATGAAGATGACATAAGACCTCATCTAGAATAAAAGAACCATCAACTTCTTTCCATCGATCAGGATAAATACAAAAATTTTCATCTATATGAACACCAGCTAATAAAATAGGAGACACTGGAGTGCCTCGATTAAGTAGCATGCCCTCCAAATAAAAATTTGGACTAATACTAATATTTAATGAAAAATTAAGCAAATAAGCATTAGATCCAAATTCAAAAATAGGAAAACAATTCTCATCAAACTTGAACAACAAGCATTCAGTGGGACAAGACTTCAATGATAAAGGAGTAACAATAACGTTTGGTGCTAAAAATAATTAAGTACAAACACAAGTGAATACTTGGCAATAAGCAGAGGAACAAAGTCAACAATCTTAGATTGACAAGAATTCGTAACAAAGTCATGATGACTTGGACAAGTAGATACAGAATAGTCACTAGTAGATTCTGCAATAAATGACTCAATTGACTTTGTTAAGAATAATATAGGGTAGTATGTATAAATTATTAATAGTAAGAGGGTGTATGTGTAATTCTTATTATTGTGAAGTTAACTATAAATACAAGTGATGCATGAGAGCTAGCTTAAGTTTTAATCTCTTTTTGTTTCTCTCTAATATTGTGTTAACACTCTATACTTAACATGATATCAGAGCAATTCGATCCTAAATACAAATCTTAGTGTGTTTATGTTGTGAGAATTTCGTTGTCGAAGTGGTGTCATTGTTGTGGTGGTACATCAGTTGAAGTTCCAGCGTAGTGGAGGCGATACTTGGTAGTGGTGGCGATACGGCTGTGGTGGAGGTTTCTGGTGTAAGGCATTGTCGACATCGGTGCCTCTATGTCCAGCTATTGTTGTGGTGTCTTCTATGTTTTGCGATTGTGGCAGTGTGGTATCTGGTCATCGCGATTATGGTGTTCTGCAATTGTGGTGGTGTATTCTCTGGTCATCGACATCGGTGCCTGCGGTGGTGCTGCTGTGCAACCTGTTGTGGTGGTGTGACAATGGCGTCGGCGTTTGTTTTCTGAAAATTCGAGGGTTTCTTTAGAAACCCTAATCAGATGAAGAAGATAAGGGCTGTTTGGGTCGGTTGTGGGTCAATTCCAGCCCACTTCAAACCTGGTCCAGCCCAAGATCCAAACAAAAACCGGTCTAACCCAAGACACAGACCAGACCGGTTCAATTCCGATTTGGTTCACTCTAAGCCGGTTCAGGTAGTTTTACATCGGCTCAGACCGGCTCCTTCTATTGTTGCTTCGGTTCAACGGTCCAGCCCATTTCTTTAGTCCGGTTCCGTTAGTTTGGCACCAGTTCAGGCTGGTTTTGTCCATTGTTTGGCCGGTTAATCCATCCAGTGTGTTTTTCCTGTCCGGTTCAGCAATCTAGTGTATTTTTCATGTCTGGTTCAACAATCCAACAAGGCCTTTTAGTCTAGTTCAGTAATTGTTCCGATTACACGTTCTCTAAATTGTTCCGTAATCTTTTATCCCTCTTATTGTGTCTTTCAAGATCTCAAGACGAAGAGGAAGATTGGTACCGGGTATAAAGCTGATGGCCTATATTACCTTGACTTTGATTCACCTACCTAGGCTCTATAAACCTCATTATCTCCTTTTCAATGGCATTGTCGTCTTGAACATCCCTCTCTCCAAAATCTGAAGCGCCAAGTTTCTAGCCTTAGTTATGTGTCGTCTTTGTCTTATAAAGCTTGTCAACTTAGTAAGTATCACCGTGTGTCTTTTCAATCTAGAGTCAATAATCATGTGTCTAGTCCATTTGAGTTAGTATATTCTGATGTATGGGGTCCCACAAAGAATATTTCATCTAATAAATATCCTTATTTTGTAACATTTGTATATGACTATTTTTGTGTGACTTGGCTATTTTTGATGAAAGCTCGGTCTGAATTATTCTCTATATTTGAGACCTTTCGTAAGGAAATAAAAACTTAGTATGGTTGTCGTATACATACTTTATGTTCCAATAATATTCGAGAATATGAATCTGATCCTTTTTCAGCTTATCTTAGTAAAACTAGCATTATTCA